AGGACGAACTGTATTCTTGTGGGTATAAAAGTGATTAGAACCCTAGGTTGTATCGTATGATATCATTTTTGGTTTATCGGGTGGGAAATTGCATGTTTGGGGTGTCGATTGTGTTAGAAAAGCATGATAGGCTATGTGCCGTACGTTTCTCGTATTTGATCCGTTAATTGACTACGTGTTGATAGTTAATTGCGTTGTAAAGTGTCTAAGCATGGTTTCGGGTTCCACAATGGTTCCCGGGGCATTTTTGTGATGAAAAGAGTCAGTGGGGGGTAGGTGGGGGTAGGGGACCCGCCACCTACCCACGGCCAAGACGGGTAGTCCCGGCAGCGGGCAGCTGCCCGCCGGGCACCCGCTGCCCGGAACAGTGCACACCGGCGGGTGGACCCCCACCCACCGGCTACCCGCTGGAAAATACCCCAACCCGGGGTTTCGTGTAACACCCCAGATTTTCAAGACATTTTAAGCATATATAATAAAGGTGATATCTCATTACATCCCAAAGTATATCATAAGTGTACGGGGTACTATGCCACACCTGGGCTAGAGAACCCAGGTGCACAGGCTGTCTAACTAATATCCATTGAAACACAATGCATAATATGGCACGCAGGCCGAAAGGGAAACTACTCTACTTCTACGCTCCAGTTCTAGCGCGCTCCAGTGCTCTAGTCCTCTGTGCCTGAAAGCCAAATATATCTGTTCAGCGAGAGATGCTGGTAACCCACTCCAACGCGTTGAAATACAATACATATAGAGATATATATAGATATACGAAAACCATTTTGAGCATGAAGATATATCCTACGAACTCTAGCTTTTAAAACCGGGAATGACTCGACAGATAAGGTCAGACACAAGCAACAGTTATAACGAGCATATGCAGTTCACAACAGACAAGGCAGATAAGGCAAAGCACAAACAATGATCATAACCCAACATGAACAATCCCCAATATAAACCCCATAGTCACATCCCCCAAGACACTCGTAATCACAACTCGTCCATGTCACAACACATAACACACTTTGTTGGTGCCACAGGACCAATCGCATGCCCATACATGAGGGTCAGTGCATATAGCTCTGACACGGCCCCGCAGCACCCTGCCCCGTATCGCAACACAGAGGGGTCGATCGCAACCGACCGATGAACCGCAGCTCATCTTAGTGTTTGATCGCAACCAAACAGTGGACCGCAGCCCAAGAGAATGTCATCTGACCGCAGCCAGGAAAAAGGACGAACCGCAGCTCGTATAGAAACGTTTGATCGCAACCAAACGATGGACCGCAGCCCAAGAATATCAATCTGACCGCAGCCAGCTTCTGAACCGCAGCTCAGGATAACCAATCCAATCGCAACCGAATTGGGGTAACACACACATAACATAAAGCAAGCACATGCAACCCACATTACACATTAGGAAATGGGAGAAAACGTATAACAAAGCCTATGCGTGATCCATCACTTACTAAGAATAGTCCTAAGGGGTTCATACTTCTTCCACCTAGGTCAACGGGATACCAATTCAACTAGCATGCAATATAATAGACTCATAAACCTACGAACGGTACCCGAAACATCAAACTAGACATAGGCACGATAAATGGAGTCCGTTGAGACACCACGGGGAACGGGGAACATCAAACGGGGAAGCCGGGATCCCGGGTGGGATGAATTCCCAGCGGGTAGCCGGTGGGTGGGGGGGCCACCCGCCGGCTGCCCGCCGGTTTTACTGTTCCGGGCAGCGGGTCGCCGGCGGGCAGCTGCCCGCCCGCCGGCCACCCGCTGCCAGGCGGTGATTCTCGGCACCGGGTAGGTGGCGGGTCCCCTACCCCCCCAGCTACCCCCCACTGACTCTTTTTCATCAATTGTGCCCCGGGAACCGTTGTGGAACCCGAAACCATGCTTAGACGCTTTACAACGCAATTAACGACAACACGTAGACAATGAACGGATCAATTACGAGAAACGAACGACACATAACCTATCATATTTTTCTAAATATAATCAACACCCAAACATGCGATTTCCCCACCCGATAATCCAAGAATAAGATCATACGATACAACCTAGGGTTCTAATCACTTTTATATCAACAAGAATACGGTTCGTCTTCTAATTGCAAGATTCCGTAAGAATAACACATAAACATCAAGAGCATCACATAATTATCAAGAACAACGCATAATCATCAAGAACTCCATATAATTACCAAGAACACCATAATTATCAAGAATCTCCCAATATCAAGATTATCAAGATCCCCCATGGGATCATCACATCAATTACCAATAATAATCATCATAACTTGCCAATACACAATAATATGGGGAAACCCTAAGGGGGAATTATAACTATGAAAATAGGTTTTGTTGAGACATGGGTTACCTCTTAGCCTTAATTAATTCCTTGGCTATGAAGGATCTTTCTTTAAGCTTCCTTGCTTTCTTGATTTCTCCTAAGGGGATTCTTGGAGCTCTTTTGGGGTGGTGGGGCGTTATTTTTTGTGGGAAGTTCTAGGTTCCTCCTAAGTCCCCTATTTATATATTTAGGAGTCCGAATTAGGAACTAATATTATAGGCTCGCTAATTCTATTCCTTTTGGAACTAAGGATTGGGTTTAGGGGTTGGGTTTATATATGAGGGCCCAAGGACAATGGTGGGCCTTTTTCTCTAATTAATCATTATGATTCATTCTTTCTCTTGGGCTATTGATTAATTAATTAAATGGTTTTAGGGTCCGTAACACGGGGTGTTACATTTCGGCTTCCCCGTTTGATGTTTCCCCGACCCCCGTGGTGTCCCAAACGGACTCCGTCTATCGTGCCTATGTCTAGTTTGATATTTCGGGTACCGTTCGTAGGTTGTATGAGTCTTATATATTGCATGCTAGTTGAATTGGTATCCCATTGACCTAGGTGAAAGGAGTATGAACCCCTTAGGATCATTCTTAGTATGTGAAGGATCACGCATAGGTTTTGTTATACGTTTTCTCCCCCTTCCCAATGTGTTAATGTGGGTTGCATGTACTTGCTATGTGTTATGTGTGTATGTAACCCCGAATTGGTTAAGATCAATCGGGCTATACGGGCAGTCGGGTGGGCTGAGAACCATACCGGCTGTTAACCAGGCTGGTTGAGACCGGTCAGGTATATAAATATTATATAGGACTAAGTTCCACTATACGGGCAGTCGGATGGGCTGAGAACCATACCGGCTGTTAACCAGGCTGGTAGAGACCGGTCAGGTATATAAATATTATATAGGACAAAGGTCCACTATACGGGCAGTTGAATGGGCTGAGAACCATCCCAACTGTTAACCAGGCTGGTAAAGACCGGTCAGGTATATAAATATTATGTAGGACAAAGGTCCATCAGTCGGTTGCGATCGGCTCCTCCGTAATGTGAGATGGGGCAGGGTGCTGCGGGGCCGTGTCAGAGCTATATGCGCTGACCCTTATGTATGGGCATGCAATTGGTCCTGTGGCACCAACAAAGTGTGCTATGTGATGAGATATGGATGAGTTGTTGTTATGAGTATCTTGGGGATGTGACTATGGGACTTATACCGGGAATTGTTTATGTTGGGTTATGATTATTAATTGTGCTCAGCTTTATCTGTCTTGCCTGTTGTGGATTGTATACGCTTGTTATAACTGTTGCTTGTGTCTAGCCTTATCTGTCGAGTCATTCCCGGTTTTAAAAGCTAGAGTTCGTAGGATATATCTTCATGCTCAAAATGGTTTTCGTATATCTATATATATCTCTATATGTATTGTATTTCAACGCGTTGGAGTGGGTTACCAGCATCTCTCGCTGAACAGATATATTTGGCTTTCAGGCACAGACGAGTAGTTCACTGGAGTGCGCTAGAAGCTTGGACGTAGTTTAGATAGCTTTTCCCTTTCGGCCTGCGTGCCATGATTTAGTACTGATGCTATTTGAGGATATTAGTCAGTTAGCCTGTGCACCTAAGTTCTCTAGCTTAGGTGTGGCATAACGCCCCATACTCTTGTACTATGTTCTGGGATTTAACGAGATTTCACCTTTATTTTATAAGTTTTAAATATCTTGAAAATCTGGGGTGTTACAGTACAAGTTACCAGGCCTTCATACTTACAGAGTTTGAGACTTACAGATGTCCAGTGTAATTGAGCCAAACACAGTGGGCTCAAAAAATAGCATGTGAGATTAGATTGCAATTTAGCTAAACAGTCAAATACTGTAAAAGATTGCAATAAAATCAAGTAAGTAAATCAAGTAATGTAAATAATAACATTACAGGAATTGTAGCAAGTGTAGAACCAAGAGACCACCCACTTCCACCATCACCACTTAACTCTGCAAAATAAACAACAAAAGTTAAGTGTATTAACAATTTAAGCAATTTAAAATATAAGTATAAAGGATTATAAAGTTAAAACTAAAAAGTCATACCTTTTTCAAACCTCTCAAACTCTTCCAGATTATCCTCAATACATACAGGAGTATTTTGCATTCTAAGCCAATCTTGTGTACACACCAATGCTTCCACAATTTTTGGAGTTAAAGAACTCCTAAAAGGATCCAATACTCTTCCAGAAGTACTGAAGGCAAATTCTGAGGCTACAGTGGAGATTGGAATGGCTAGGACATCCCTAGCAAGCTTAGACAGAACTGGAAACCTAGCAGAGTTGATCTTCCACCATCCAAGTATATCAAAAGATTATTCCTCTTCAACTATTCCCTCACTCAAGTACATATCCAACTCAGTTTGTTTCTTACCCCCAGACTCCAATCTTTGCTTTTTAATTTGGGACTTCAGAAAATGTTGTGGCTTCCCAACAGAAATAGAAGAGGCAGATGTAGGCTGTACAGACACAGGCACAGAAGGGACAAGCATAGAAGGGACAGAAAAAGAGGCTGATGTAGAATAATCATCAAATAACTCAGCAAGACCAGCAACTACTTTGTCATAGAATGGTTTACCCTTTTCCTCACCATACATATGATTAAACTAAGTAGGCATATACTCTAACTTGTCTCTAGGGCCTAGAATGTTTGCAAAAAATATCATTAGATTCATTTTTTCAACATCACCCCAATACTTCTCAAATTTTGCCTTCATATTTTTCCCCACCACACCAACTGGCCCACCAACTTCCACCATGCCTTTCAATATGCAGTACATATCAGAAATCTCAGTAAAGAATGTGTTTGAGGTGACATATAAAGAACCAGAAATTCTAATGGTCATGTCATAAAAACACTTCAGTAACTGAACCAGACTGCCAACAGATTCCCAGTCCATAAAATCAGGAATTGAATTACCCAAATCAGACTTAAAAGAACAATCTGACTACAAAGATTCAAACACTTTTTGGTAAGTTAATGCAGACTGCAACATCAAATAGGTAGAGTTCCATCTGGTTGGAACATCTAAACACAAAGAAGACCTTTGTTCAATACTCAACCAATCAGCCAAATCCCTGAACTTCTTGAGTCTAGCAGGAGAGTTTCTAACATATTTAACCACCTCCCTAACCTTCTTAACAGAACTATCACAATCTTTCAGACCATCTTGAACTACTAGGTTTAAGATATGGGCAATACATCTCATGTGAAGATACTTTTCCCTCACAGTAGATGATCCCCAAGACACCAATTTTTTCTTCAGAAACCCCATAGCAGTGTCATTTGATGAGGCATTATCAACAGTCACAGAAAACACATCTCTAAGCCCCCACTCTAGCAAACAATTTTCTAGGGCTTTGGCTAGATATTCACCTTTGTGAGAGGTAACAGGGACAATTGCAAGGATTTTCTTATGAAGCTTCCACTCAGAATCAATGAAATGGGCAGTAACTACCATGTAGTTAATTCTTTGGATGGATGTACAAGAATCTGTAGTGATACTAACCCTATGACTGCATCCCCTTAAAAATGACTTCAATTTAAGTCTCTCCTCTTCACAGTCCACAATTCAAATTTATCACAGTGACACAGTCAGTGCTTCCACCAGAATGTCACACAACATATCACACATTCACACATTCTGAAATCAATTTTATAACACTATGGTTTTAATAAAAACTCAGTGTTTCCACCACAATATCACAGAGACACAAAATAGATCAAAAATTCGCAATAAACTCAGAGTAATATGCCAATAACTTTAAGAAATAACTTTTACAAAACAAGGGTTTGCATTTTGCAGTAACAAAGTCAGTGCTTCCACTACAATATCACAGAGACCACATAATATATCACAATAAATTTAAGAACTGCAAATATATAAAAATAAGGTCAGTGAGTTACTTCTTTTCTCACAAATACCCCGGAGAACGAGGGCTTCTGTTTACTGGAAGTCGACGACACCACTAGTCCACCACAGCACCACGTCCACGTCCACCACAGCACTACTGCACCAGTCAGAGCCTCAGGGCTTCCACCAGTGACCAATGTTTCATCGTCTATAACAGAACCAACCGGACAAGGAGAGTAGAGACTACAAAGAAGGTAGTCTCTGCTTAGTAGAGAAGAGAGAACTGAGGAGTGAGGACTAAAATCGCAAGGTGCGACTGCGTAGAGAGCCAGAGAGAACTCAGAGAATGAGAGAAGACAGAAGAGAAGCTCTCGTTTGGAAACCCTAAGAGAAGAGACTGACTGCGCAAATGAGAACTTCTCCATAGAAACATATATATATATATATATATATATATATATATATATATATATATATATATATATATATATATATATATATATATATATATGTGTGTGTGTGTGTGTGTGTGTGTGTGTGTGTGTATATATATATATATATATATATATATATATATATATATACTAAGCCTAAAAGACGTCGTATTGCACTCTACGTACGTAACCCTAGTATTAATCGGGTATTCGGACAAATCGGGTGTATTTTTTAGCCCCCCTACCCGAATGCCGTAAACCGATGTCGTTTTAGATGTCGGTTTGGTTTTTCGAATCGGGTAGCTGTTCGGTTCGGTTTGTCTTGGTCAGTTAGCGGTTCGGTCGGTTTTTTCGAGTTTTTCGGATTTTGCTCAGCCCTAGTTGTGGGCGGCGATTGAGCAGGAGCTCGGCTCGGTGACACGTTCGCGGGTGTTGATGCTTCTCGGCGAGCTGCAGGGGCTGTCGCAGGGAGCTCCGTCCGTTTCTGACTATCTGAACAGGGCGAGGGTGTTGGTTGAAGATTTGGCGCTGGCCGGACGGGTGATCTCGCTTGATGATCAGAATGTCTATGTTTTTCGCGGCTTGAGATCGGAGGTTCGTCCTCTTGTTGCTCCGTTGACGCGTGGTTCTCCGGTAACCCTCTCTGAACTCTCTGATTATTTGACATCGCAGGAGTACATTTGTGTGCCAAGTGGTGGTGACGCTGCTGCACCCGCTGCTGCACCCGCTGCCATGGCAACGTACTGTGACCGTGGAGATCGCGGTGGTGGCCGGTCTTCTCGTGGTGGCTCGGGCAGTGGAGGCTCGGGCAGTGGTGGGGCGGTGGTGGCCGCGGTCGAGGCCGGTCGGATATTCGGTGTCAGATTGTGATAAGCTCGGGCACTCTGCACGGGCGTGTTTTCATAGGTTTTCAGAGACTACGGATCCTCAGGTTCATATGGTCTTTTCTGGTGGTGAGAGTGGGAATGTTGAGTCTCACCAGTGGTTTCCTGACACGGGAGCCACGAATCATGCTACTCCCGACTCCTCTGTGTTGATCACTTCGGCTCGCTATGATGGCTCGGACACTTTACGGGTTGGTAATGGTGAAGGTATGCCTATATTTAGTGTTGGGTCTGCTTCGATAGCTTCTTCTTCTAGGTTGTTATTAGTTTGAATGATGCCTTGCATGTTCCTGGTTTGTCCTCCTCGTTGCTTTCTGTACAACGTTTTGCTAAGGATAATTGTGTCTTTTTTTAGTTTCACCCGGATTGTTTTCTTGTGAAGGATCTCATGACCAAGAAGGTGGTTTTTAAGGGGGGTACCTCGGGAGGTTTATATTAATGGCCCACGCCTTCTTTGAGTCTGTCTGCTTATATTGCTGCGCGTGCATCGTCTTCTACTTGGCACAAGCGGCTTGGTTATCCACACACACGGGTTCTGCGTCAGATTTTGCAGTTGTCCGGTGTTGGTTTTGTTAATTCTAGTGAATTGTCGCGTTTATGTTCTTCGTGTCAGTTAGGGAAATCTTCCCGCTTTTCTTTACCTCGTGTCGAAACAAAAAGTATTCATGTGTTAGAGCTTATATATACTGATATTTGGGGCCCCGCGCCTGTGTACTCTGTGAATGGTTTTCGCTACTTTGTTTTATTCGTGGATGATTTTACACGATATGTGTGGTTTTATCCTATGCGTGCGAAAACTGATATTTATTCTATTTTTGAACGGTTTTGGTCACTAGTTGAGCGTTCGTTTTCCCATAAAATTGTGTCTATTCAGTCTGATCTAGGGGGAGAGTACAAAAAGATCCACTCTACCTTTGAGTCTCTTGGAATTCTTCACAGGCAGTCCTGTGCGTATACACATGAACAGAATGGTTGGGTAGAACGCCGCCATCGGCGTATAGTTGAAACTGGGTTGGCCTTGATGGCTCAGGCGTATATTCCCTCTCGTTTTTGGGATTATGCGTTTGAGACTGTGGTCTATTTGATTAACAAGATGCCCACTCGTGTGTTAAATAATGAGTTCCCCACTATCGTTTGCATCGTTCTCCTTCGTCATATTCCTACTTGCGTGTTTTTTAGCTGTCTGTGTTTTCCTTTATTATGCCCGTATAATCGTAATAAACAGGAATATCGTTCGTCTCCCTGTGTTTTGTTAGGGTATCCTGACTCTTTTCGTGGTTATCGTTGTCTGAATTCTAACACTAAAATGAACTCTTGTTTTAAGAAAGTCTATTCGTATAACCTTAGCTTCGAGGACAAAGCTTCTTTTAAGGTGGGTAGAATGTGATAACCCAAAAATATTTTTCCTAAAAAAACAGTGTATGAATTGAATATTTTAAATCGAGTTTTTAGATCAATTCAACACCAAGAAGTAACCAATTTTGAAAATCCCAAGTTTCGAGTATATTTATGTACCAAGTTTTGACCCAAAAAGTCAATCTGAGTGAAACTAGAGAGGAACCTGTGAAACTTGAACCCAATGTTTTATTTAGAAACTATCTATTAGAAAATCTATTTTGACCCCAAAGTTGTCTAAAATTATTTTTAAAGCCTTAGTCTATGTTAAAGAAATGATGCCTAATGATTTTCCTACAAGCCAAGTAAAGGTTTGATTTTGAACAAAGCTATTTTACTTTTCTACCCTCATCAGCCAATGATTTCTACCTAGGGTTTTGGACCCCTATATAAGCATCACTATTCCATCCATTTCTCCTGATCCCCTCTTTTGCCTCCCCACTCCAAATTCTAGAATCAGTAGAAGGAAGAAGAAGATTACAATAAGTTGTTTTGCTTCCATCTCCTCTATTCTTTCATTCATCTCTTAGACCATTCATGTAACACCCCTGATTTTCAAGACATTTAAAACTTAATAATAAAGGTAACATCTCATTAAATCCCAAAGCGTAACATAAGTGTACGGGGTGCTATGCCACACCTGGGCTGGAGAACCCAGGTGCACAGGCTGTCTAACTACTATCCTCCGAAATATAAATGCATAACATGGCACGCAGGCCGAAAGGGAAACTATACTACTTCTACGCTCCAATTCTAGCGCGCTCCAGTGCTCTAATCCTCTGTGCCTGAAAGCCAAATATATCTGTTCAGCGAGAGATGCTGGTAACCCACTCCAACGCGTTGAAATACAATACATATAGAGATATATATAGATATACGAAAACCATTTTGAGCATGAAGATATATCCTACGAACTCTAGCTTTAAAACCGGGAATGACTCGACAGATAAGGCCAGACACAAGCAACAGTTACAACAGTCATAAGCAGTTCATAACAGATAAGGCAAATAAGGCAAGGTATAAGCAGTAATCATAACCCATCATAAACAATCCCCAATATGAAACCCATAGTCACGTCCCAAGGCACTCGTAGTCACAACTCGTCCGTATCACAACACATAACGCACGTTGTTGGCGCCACAGGACCACTCGCATGCCCATACATGCGGGTCAGCGCATATAGCTCTGACACGGCCCCACAGCACCATACCCCGTATCGCAACACGGGGAGGTCGATCGCAACCGACCGATGAACCGCAGCTCATCATAATGTTTGATCGCAACCAAACAGTGGACCACAGCCCAAGAGAGTGTGTCATCTGACTGTAGCCAGGAATTCCCATCTGACTACAGCCAGCCTCTGAACCGCAGCTCAGGAAAGATGTCACCTGATTGCAGCCAGGAATTCCCATCTGACTACAACCAGCTTCTGGACTGCAGCCCAGGATACCGTCATGCGACTGCAGCCAGGAATTCCCATCTGACTGTAGCCGGCTTCTGAACCGCAGCTCAGGATAACCAATCCGATCGCAACCGAATTGGGGTAACACGCACACATAACACATAGCAAGCACATGCAACCCACATTACACATTGGGAAGGGGGACAAAGCGTATAACAACCTTATGCGTGATCCATCACGTACTAAGAATAGTCCTAAGGGGTTCATACTTCTTCCACCTAGGTCAACGGGATACCAATTCAACTAGCATGCAATATAATAGACTCATAAACCTACGAACGGTACCCGAAATATCAAACTAGACATAGGCACGATAAACGGGGTCCGTTGGGACACCACAGGGATCGGGGAAACATCAAACGGGGAAGCCGGGGTCCCGAGGGGGGGAAATTCCAGCGGGTAGCCGGTGGGTGGGGGTCCACCCGCCGGCTGCCCGCCGGCCATCACTGTTCCGGGCAGCGGGTGCCCGGCGGGCAGCTGCCCGCCCGCCGGCTGCCCGCTGCCGGAGCTGCCCGAATTGCCGCGGGTAGGTGGTGGGTCCCCTACCCCCCACTGACTCTTTTTACCACTTTTCGTCCCGGGAACCATTGTGGAACCCGAAACCATGCTTAGACACTTTTCAACGTAATTAACGACAACACATTGACAATTAACGAAGCAAATACGATAAACGAACGGCACATAACCTATCATGCTTTTCTAATCATAATCAACACCCAAACATGCGATTTCCCCACCCGATAATCCAAGAATAATATCATACGATACAACCTAGGGTTCTAATCACTTTTATATCAACAAGAATACAATTCATCTCCTAATTGCAAGATTCGGTAAGAATAACACATAAACATCAAGAGAATCACATAATTATCAAGAACAACACATAATCATCAAGAACTCCATATAATTACCAAGAACACCATAATTATCAAGAATCTCTCAATATCAAGATTATCAAGATTTCTCATGGAATCATTATATCAATCATTAATAATAATCATCCCAATCATTAATACACAATAATATGGGGAAACCCTAAGGGGGAATCATAATTATGAAAATAGGTTTTGTTGAGACATGGGTTACCTCTTAGCCTTAATTAATTCCTTGGCTATGAAGGATCTTTCTTTAAGCTTTCTTGCTTTCTTGATTTCTTCTAAGGGAATTCTTGGAGTTCTCCTGGGGCGATGGGGCGTTTAGGCGTGTGGGAGAAGGTTCTAGGTGCTCCCTAAGTTCCCTATTTATAGATCCAAGGGTTTATTTAGAGTTTATTCCTATTGGGTTTAGGGGTTGGGTTTATATAATTGGGCTCATGGGCTATGGTGGCCTTTTTCCCTAATTAACCATTATAGTTTATTCTTTCTCCTGGGTTATTAATTAATTAATTAATTAATCAGTTGGTTTTAGGATCCGTAACACGGGGTGTTACAATTCACCTTGTCTTCCAATCTTTGAGTTCTTGCCTTAAGCTTCGTGTATATGTTTGTTGTTTGAGGAAAATAGGTGGTGAAGAAGGTAATATCTGAGAAAGTAAGGAATGTGACCATGCAAGAGGAGACCAATCACAAGGTATAAACCATTGATTTCCAAAACTAAGATTTTGCTATGTTAAATGCTAGAAGCTTAAGTTTAAATGCTTAGAAATGTTAGAAAATACTTGTTGATGAGTTGTTTGTATGTTGTTGATGTTGTATGATTGATTTATTGAGGTTTGGAAGTATATTTTGATACTTTGTGATTGTTTTTGTGGAGAAGAAGCCTCTGGTGCACACTGTCTAGTGCACCAGACTACCTCACGGCCCTAACCAGCGAACCTAGGGAAGGTCCACCGGCTAGCACCGTGGAGCAACGGTCCATGGGGACAGATCCTAGCTGGATCCGTCACCCAAGGCTGCCGCTTGGCGGGGCTTCACAAGTCCCGTCACCAAGCTCCGCCAGGCCAAATGCGGAGAAGGTTGGGCCCTCTGTGGCTCAGTCATGTGTTGTTCGGATCGGGATTCGTGGGCCCTTGAGACTCCGACACTCGGGCTCGCTACGACGCGCTAGTTGAGTTGTTCTTGATTGATTTTGAGCTAAAAAGCATGATAGCAGATAAGTGAAATGAAAGATGATACTCTGTATTTGTTTGGCTGTGAGCTTGAGTTGGTGAAGGGAATTTTGGCTTTGAGTATAGAAATTGTTGAGTAGCATGCTTAATACCCTGTTAGCTCTTGTTGAGAAGTTTCGCTAAGTTATTGAATTTATTTGCATGAAACAATGCAATTTCCAACTTCACAGTGAACGAGTATTTTATGCATATTTCAAAGACTTAGTACATTGAAGGCTCTAAGTAAAGCCTAAGTCCTTTTCAAAACCTATATCTATCTTGGAAAATCTATATCTTTTGCATTGAGAAGTTTGCATGATAAATTGATTTCCAAAATGTGAGAAGGAGATACTATTTGAGATTTATGTGCATTGCAAAGCTTGCATATTATGGAGTTTAATTGCATAATATAAGTTGCATGAGATATATATGTTATATATATTGTGAGGAAAACTTTATTTTGGAGGTCTCGTCAAGACTAGGTCCTTTCGAAAGAAAAGAGAAAGAAAGAAGTTTGAAATCCGGGTTGGGGGTGTGCACACTGACAAGTACAATACCTGATTCTACAGAGATTTTATAAGAACCAAGAGTAACGGTTCTGTGGGCGAGATGAGTATTAGGCCGGCTAGATGCCGAGCCCGGATAGGTCCTTTCATGATTCGTGAAGTTCCTACCTCGCCCACAAGTTCATAAAGAAAGCAAGAAAGAAGAAAGAAGACAAAAGTGAGTCAAAAGACTCAACAGAGATCCTCCATAGATAAATGTTCCATT